CGGGCCTAATTTTTGGTCGATAAACGAAAAAATCGGTTGCCCACGTTGCCGATGCTGCCACCCATGTCCGCGAAAAACAGCCGTTTTTCGCGGATTTTCCTGCATGACCGATAAAAATAAATGTGGAGATCACCGAAAAAACTGCCATCAGGCTGGCCCCACCAACGGCGTGATTACCGGCCGATTTTTAGTGCGGATGAAAATTCGGCCGATCAACGACCAGTCTATGGCCTGCATTAGACTGTAGATCGTCATGTTGGCTTACACATGAATAGAATGCTGTAGGAAGCATTCTATTGAGTTGTACTCTGCATTAATTGCGGCTGCCCTGCACAATTACACAGAACAATTGCAGTATACTCCAAGCACGATTAATCATAACTGAATTTGACTCATAATGCAGTTAATTTTATGTAGGAAATACTTGCTGTTCACCAAAGAAAGAAAAACATTACATTTAAGTCATTCACAACATGGTATTAAAGTGTAAAATCCCAAGCAAAAAAGGGGACTTTCTTTCTCCAGGTATAAAAATATTCCAGCACTTTATCTGCTAGCTCTTCTAGCCCATACAGATGCTTATATTGTAAACTGCCAAATATAAATGTTTGGGCTTGCTGCCATATTTCCGGTTATAATCCACAGCTTATGTGCGTATTGCATAAAAACAAACTGGAAGTAAAAAAATCTGTACTTCCATGATAATAATGGTTATTTTAATGAGTAAAATGATCAGACATATGGTCAAGTGTAGAAAACAAAATATAAATGAAATAATGCAGAGCATATTGCCAACGTGTCCCAATGGTATTCTTTAAAATTAGATATTCAAATGGGAAAACCCAGGCAAACAGCTCCGTACACAGTAAATAATGTAAACTGTTGTAACTGCTAAAGAGTTTGTAAATCTGATCAGCCACACTGCATAGCGTAAAAGATCTCACTTAACACTCTGTTCAGATTTGCAGCATTCTGTGTCATCTGCTTGGACACTGAAGAGTACTCCCAAGGAGCAGCTGGAGATGGTGACATAGGAAACTAGAAAACTGAAACAAGAAAACTGTAATCTGCCTGGCGGTGCACTGTTACAGAAGATATACATTAAAAGACTGAATTAACAAAATTGCTAGTCCTTTAGCAGCTATACCTGCTCAGACTTTTGGGAGGTGGATGTGGGTTTGTGAAGTCCTCATGCACACTAGACATTTTTTTAAAGCTGCTGTTTTTGGCCTTTGACTGTTTTTTTCTACAGCCAGTAAACCCCCCCAGCATGTTATCCTATGTGTCCACAGACTGTAATCAACTTTTTTTGGCTGGGAAAAAAAAAACCCAGGACTATTGGGTTTCTAGAGGAGTTTTTTAGCTGCAAAAATGCTCTAACCCTGGAAAAACGTGGCAAAACACCACAAACTGGCGTTTTTGGACTTTTTTTTTTTTTACCAAAAAAAGAATTTCCTTTTTTTTGGTGAAAAAAAAAAAAAAAAAACCCTAAAAAAAAAAAAATGCAAAAGAACACAAATGCAAAAACGCTAAAAAGAGCTAAAAAACATAGCTAACATTACCAGCATTATGAAAACACCCAGTGTGCCTTAAGGTTTCTTCAAGGGTGCCTTGGCAAAATGTCTAAAAATTGCCCAAAATTTGTATACAAGCTAGCGGGTGGATAAAGCCTGACTTTTAGTTACACTAGCCACAGGTTTTTATTGTACACCATTAGGACCTTCTAGCCACCGCATCCTGACAACCAATGACATCAGTTGATAAGGAGGATGCCAGCTGCCTGCACAACATCCTGGTTTGCCCCTCTCCATCAGTGCTCGGGGTCACATTAGCTCAGTGAGGGAGAAGAGAAACACTGGAATGTACCAGTGTGCACAAGTGTTTCTGCTTTGAAAGAATAAATCGATTCTAACGTTGGGTGTCCTACATGTGTGGATGTTGCTGCGTTATATAAAACTATCAGAATAGTTTTTCACATTTTAGAATGGGGTCCCCTTTTAAAATTATGGACAGTCTTAACCCCTTCACGCCTAAGGGTAAAACAAATCTAAATGCCTAAGCACAATTCTGCAACGTTGACGTGTTAGTAAAACCGTACATATCATCACAACTACTTTGTACATCCAGGTGGATTATACCTTGTTTTTTTCAGGACAAATTGGGCTTTCCTTTGGTGGTAAATGGTAATGGATAGCTCCTAATTTTTTTTTTATTATTAAAGGAAAACTGGGCCAAAATAGTAAAAAAAATCATTTTTTTAAATTTAACTGTGTGTTTCTTGTTACGACCATAACCTACCACCAAAGAACAACCCAAAATACATTCTCCAGTTCTTGGCGATCGCAGCAATACCATATATGTGTATATTATTTGTTGTTTGTACCCGTAGTACAGTCCAGAAACAACAGTGCGCATTTTGTTTTTGTCTTTTTTTTAATTTTTTTTTTTTTACATAAAACACACTGTCACTGACATTGACATTAACACTGACACCGATACCAAATTTTTTTTAAATCCTGACCTTTGACCCTGACCTTTGCCCTTGACCCTGACCTTTGACCCTGACCTTTGACCCTGACCTTTGACCCTGACCTTTGACCCTGACCCTGACCCAAACACTAACCCTGGTACTGAACTAGATCAAACCTTGATCTAGGTATTTTTCTTTATTTTTTCTTTTCTTTTTTTTTACAAACTTTTTTTTTATCTCTCTATGTCAGGAGTTTGAGAGATACAATGTATCTCTCTTCTCCATTCATAGAGAGAGAGAAAACAAGGGGGCCAGGCTGCACAGTGATTGATCACTGTGATAGCCAATCAGAGGCTATCACAGCGATCACGTGACCCGGAATCGGGAGTCCCGGGTCCCGATCGTTAGAACGGGACCCGGGGCTCTCAGTGACACCGCGGTCTTGGTGCTGGGAGCGCGCCGAGCGGCGCGCTCCCAGCACAAAGACAGGTACGCAAATATGCGGCCCCATGGAAAAAAGCCCAGGTCCGTGAGGCCGCATATTTGTGTTACGTCGGCGTCAAGGGGTTAAGGCACCCCATTTTAGAATGGGGTGCCTCAAGACTGTCCATAATTTTAAAGGGTGCCTTGACTGAAAAAAGGTTGAGAAACACAGATATAAACATTGTTGTTCTTGGGTTTAAATACACTTTAATGCAAACTTGCTCTTCCCCTGCTGCTACTTAAAGCCGATATCCATGTTTTAGTGAAGTTTAAATAGTTTGTTTGGACCAAGCAAGCTTACATACTTACAGTATACAGCAATGTGTACCGGCAGTGGGGCTTGAACTTCCTGTCCCGCTCCTGGAACAAAATGGAGTAGGGCTGAGAACTGCTCAGCCATTTACATATAGCTCTGTATTCTAATCTACAAATGAACACAAAGCTTACTCTGATTGGCAGAGGTTGGCAGATAATGTCATGATCTCTAACTCAGCCATTCAGAGGCGGCTTTGTATTCATGCATAGAATACAAAGCCCCCTGTGAATGGCTGAGTAGCTGTCAGTCCAACTCAATTTTGTTCTGGGATACACACACTCAGTGGACATGTATTAGTGAAGGTAACACGCTCGTTTATACCAGCTTGGTCCAAAGAACTATTTAAACTTCATTAAAACAGAAAAGGGAAGCTCTATATTCCCACACAGATCTTTGCCACCCTTTGCCTGCTTAAGAAAGCCCCGAGTAAGTTCCTGACTGGCCTGGGTCAGAATTCTCACAAGGTTAAGGACTTTCCCGGCCCCCAAGTGACAGAAACTTCAGAAGCTCCAGGGAGGACAACAGGCTGCAGTAAAATTAAAGTGTTACTAAACCTACAACAGTAAAATCAGTCTGTATATGCAGTAAAGCATGTTTGTTATACTCACTATGGAATCTAAGGGGTTAATTCTCTGCATTGGGTAAAAAGGATGTTTGATCCTGACTTCTCTGATTTTCCCCTTCTTCCAGTGCCCCCCCTCTTGTCTCCTGATAAGACGTATCGTGTGGAGACTTTCTGCACATGCTCAGTTTGTTGTGTATTGCTAGAGAGTTTTTTTTTTTTCTTGGGAGAGTGCATGCGAGCAGCACAGGGCCAATCACCACTGTCCAGACAGAGGCCAGGAGTTCTGTATCCTCCTAGAGCAGAAAAAAACTCCTCCTACACGCTTTAACCAGTGCTCTGCTGAACACTAACAGAAGTCACAAGACTGCTCTAACTGCTGATAAGAAAAAGTATTTAGCAGCTTATATTTACTAAAATAATTGCATTTCCAGGTTGTGTGTACTGTGGGAGACCAGATATAGTGAATGCAGGGTCCTGGGTTTAGTAACACTTTAAGGTATCAGTGGCAGAGCAAGCAGAATATCAAGTTAACCTGGTACTTTATATTAAATGGGCTTAGGACAAGTCAAAAATAATATATTTACTTTTAAATCACAATAGCTGGTTCAAAATATCTAGGCAGCTTTGTGAATATGACATCCTCTGCCCTAGACGAGGAGTTAAAATAGGAATGTTATCAGAGATTTCCCTACACGTGAAATGCCTGGATGGAAGAACAGAAGAGCATGCCTAAAAATATGACCAAACTATCTGCTGCAAGCATTTTGTGATTGGTTTCCCCTCGGATTACACGATTACAAACATAGAAGTCATCATTTAATCCGGATTGAAGACATGGGATTAAAACAGGTAAGCGTCAAACAGGTAAGGGAGGCAGATGCAGTTGTTCTCACTTACTGTCTGCATCTACAGCGCAATCAGGCCAAATGTAAACACAGCAATGTGTACACTGGGTTGGGCCTGTGATGACTGCTCTCAAAATAGAAGGCAAAGAAAAGCAAAAGTGATGGAATAAATTTTCAATATATCCCAGCATACACAATAAGAACAATGGCTTTCAAAAGTTTAGCCTTTAGAACCACTTGAACTATAAAAGATCACTGTTGAATTGGCTGACTAGCTGAAGGCTTTTTTACCCTAAAGTGTTACTAAACCCAAGACCCTGCTCACTATATCTGGTCTCCCATAGTACACAGAACATAGAGATGCAATTATTTTAGTAAATATAAAAACTGCCAAATACTTTCTCATCAGCAGTCTTGTGACTTCTATCAGTGTCCAGCAAGCAAAGCACTGGTTACAGCTTGTAGAAGAAGTTTTCTCTTTCTCCTGTAGGAGGCTGCAGGATCGCTGACCTCAGTCTGGACAGTGCTGATTGGCCCTGTGCTGATCACATGCACTCTCTCAAGGGAAAAAAAAAAACCCACACACCTCTCTAGCAATACACACCAAACTGAGCATGTGCAGCTTGCCACGAGCCTCTGTTCTATCAGGAGATATTTGGGAGACACAGGAAGAAGGGGAGGATCAGAGAAGGCAGGATCAAACCTCCTTTTTACACAATGCAGAGGATTACCCCCTTATGTTCCACAGTGAGTATAACAAGCATGCTTTACTGCATATACAGACTGGTTTTATGGTTGTGGGTTGAGGAACACTAATTCTTTCTAATCTAATACCATTGCATAGAGCAGGCAAATAAAATGTTATTTTACAAAAATAAAAAAATAAGCATTTACAACCACTTGAAGACTAAATGGTTGGATTGACAAAAAAGGCTGGTTGCCAGGTCGTGAGATTTTTGACCACATGTTCTCTTGCACATTCTGACTGCAATAGATAATGATTTTTAATCGAATTAGGTCTGATTTCTTTGGGCTACCTTCACACCTGGTCATTCTGATTCAGAGGGTTAACTCGCATATTTCAGTGTGCAGTATTTGCACAAAAAAAACTTGCCGTGAGTTAAAGAATATGTAAATCCAGCATTTTATATTGTGGATATTTTTTTTCATACAAATAGAGCTTTCTTTTGGTGGTATTTAATCACCACTGGATTTTTTTTTTTATTATATATTTGTTTAAAATGTTTATTTTGAAAAGCAATATTTTTTTACTTTCCTTTATAAAACACATCCAAAATTTAAAAAAAAAACGAATATAATTGCGTCATAAATTAAGGTCAAAATGTATTCTGCTGCATGTCTTTGGTAAAAAAAAAAAAAAAAAACCCCAATAAGTGTACATTGATTGGTTTCTGTGAACGTTAGAGTCTGAAAACTATGGTATATATACTAGAATTTTTATTTTTTTTTATTTTTAAATACTAGTAATGGCAGTGATCAGTGAATTATAGGGATAGTGCGGCGGGCAATCTGACACTGACGTTGGCTGGGAGGTACACTGACTGACATCACTAGTGACACTAATACAGTGATCAGTGATAATACTATACACTGTCGCTATACTAATGACACTGGCTGGCAAGGGGTTATCTAGTGGTGATCAAAGGGTTAACTGTGTGTCTAAAAGTGTACAGTGTGCTGCTTTTTACGAAATATCTATATGTTACAAACAAGAACGTTCCATCTGTATAGAAGCCCTATGCATTTGTCAACAGAGGGCTCTGGGCTGTGACTGGACACAGCCGATCAGCAGGTCTCAGCCATGAATCATTGGTTGAAACCTGCTGACAAAGTCCCACTCTGTCCAATAACAGCGGGAGTCAGAACCCGGAAGACTATGCCAACCTACAGATGCGTGATTAGGTCTATAGGAGCCACATGTCCGCCATAAGATGAGGGCGGGTGGGCGGCAAGTGATTAAGGCAGCCTATTCATTTAGAATGGTCTGGCAACACTTCTCATTCAAGCCACAACACTTGAAAGTTTGTAAAAGATCTACACAAAGTTTCCAAAAGCAGAGCCCGCAGAGTTAAAACTTGGCATGGCCAATTTTGGTCCACTCATGATAGTTTGAGCTTTATTAAATCAATTTTACAAAAAATCGCTTGTGCACTGAAACGTAAAATCACAAAAAGGTCTACTCAAAGTGGTCCTTCCCCCCCTCTATCGTGTTTTCTTAATCCCTGTTTACCTGGTTGTGGGTCCTGCACAGAAAATGTACCCACCTGCCCTTCAGATCCAGCGGTGTCCGGCTGAGATTCTCCTCCCTTCTGCCCCATGCTCGGTCCCACACTGCCATCTTCATATGTGACCTCACCGGGAAGCTGCCATCTATTTCAGGTTCAGCCAACGGCCTTTCCAATTACTCACCACTAGCCCCCCCCCTCCTCTTTTCCCATTGAAAGCTAATGTTTCCTGGGATATCACAACATAGGAAGCACTGCAGGCGAAGTGCACTTCATTCGCCTAAGCGAACGACGTGCATGGGGAATGGGCCAGAAGAGTTTTTACAAAAGAAAAAAGTAAACAAAAAAAAAAAAGCTTGGATTTGACTCGTTGAAGGTCTGCTTTAAAGCATATCAATAGTCAAAATGTAAAATCACATATTTCTTTTCACACTGTATTTCCATAATTTCTAGCCAACTACTATTAATCTAAGCAATCTTGACATTTGTAATCTTACTTTGAAAAGTTTCCCACACATTTACTTCCTTTAATTCTGTGACACCTTCATCATACCTGTTGAGTAGTCATTGCTGTGTCACACATCTCACAGAGACTGCCTTCTAAACTACAGAGGTGCCGAGAGGAGTTTCAGGAGGCGGAGCCAGTAGAATCACTGCTTGCAGGCAAGGTACCATGGGATATGTAGTCCTTAGACCAGGGTTCCTCCAGAGGTTGCTAGGGGTTCCTTGAGCAATGAGCAATATCCACCTCTCAGATAGGTTCCCGCTGACACCAATGATATTTTTTAGCCATCTATAAGGGGGCAATTCTTCTCAATGTTCACAAGAGTAAGGAACATTCTTCCCACTGACCATAATACAAATGTATCATGAGCTGTAGATACAGTAATTTTTAGCAGGGGTTCCCAGAGACCAAAGTCATTTCAAGGGTTGCTCGGTGTTGAAAAAGGCTGCCTTGGACATTGAAAGTAAACAGACGCAGCAAAGCATGCAGGGAAAACAGGAAGTTGTGTAACAAGATGGCTAGCAGACAGGCAGCACTCACATCATGTTTATAGTATCTTGAACAAACCTTACTCTTGAGATTTAGGTATGAAAAAAATCATCTAAAGATATACAAAAAAACAGAAAATGCGCTGCCAATTATTATAAATAATTAAAGCCAACAATAAACCCATATGTGCATGTGTAATATCAAAATACATGAACCTATATCAATAATTTCTACATAAAACAACTTGCTGCCTTTGAGAGCATAAGCATACAGTGTTGTGATAAAACACCAATAAAAGACACGGGTTGATCTACGAAAACTGGAGAGGGCAAAATCTGGTGGAGCTGTGCATGGTAGCCAATCGGCTTACAACTTCAGCTTGTTCAATTAAGCTTTTACTATAAAACCGTGAATCTGATTGCCTACCATGTACAGCTGCACCAGATTTTGCAGTGTTCATAAAACATATTTAAAACAAACAGTGACAAATTAAGATCAAACAGGGTGATCAAACACACCCACCTGTCCATTTTAAATGTATGTATATATGTATATCAAAGCATGCACTGGAGAAAAACAAACACACAACACCTGTCAAAGCAGGTTACCATTACAAAGTGATTTAAATGTCACTGCACTTTTTTACTAGGCAACATTTAACGCCAGTCAGCTGTCCTGTTATTTCACACTTGGTGATGCTTCTAAAGCCATGTAGAAATCAGGTCAAACATAAAAGTGCTTCATTCCATGGAGCAGCTCTGAAGAAGATAGAGCAATCTTGTGATCAGACAATTTTAAATGGAATTATGAAATATTGCATCTTATCTTTAGTAGTGGTCTGAGAAATAATATCAGTCATAGACCAAAATCAATGACGCAATGTTCTTGCATTTTAAAAGCGGATTTTCTGCAGTTTTGTGGAAAGTACATTATTCCCATCTCAAAGTCAAGTGGTCTCCTTTGAGAATGAAGTAAAACTGAGTGACAAAAATCTATATTACAAAAATCCATTATCTTCATCCACACAGTCATAGAATATTACAAACTGTAAATAAGAAAAATGAATTTAAAAAGAAAAAAAAAATAGATCAGAGTTATTGACGTAAAACCCAACAGTGAAATTGGACCTATTACTTTTAGTGGACCTATCACTGGTATTACGTTTTCATTTTGAAGTGGAACTTCCCTCCTTCACCTCCTCCTCCTACATTTGGTTCTTTTTTTTGGGGGGGGGCCTTCACCTGCAGCCTTCTGGGACACCTAACAGGTCTCAGAAGGCTACCAGACCAGACCATTCACAAATTGTAGTGCAGCTCGCACATGGACAATGGGAAGCCTTGAGGTTTCACAGATGGTTTCCCTTAGTTAAAATGACAGCGCCTGGACCCGAAGCCCACTGAAGAATCAGCTTAGGCGTGGACAGCACTGGAACCCTGGAAAGGTGCGTATCCTTGTATAAAAAAAAAAATCAGCAGGTACAAATACTGCAGCTGCTGACTTTTGTAATATAAGGACACTCACCTTTCCGGGGAGTCTGAGAGGCAACATCCCAAAAGGAAAAAGGTGTCCTAATAAGAACCAACCAGCACCAAAACACCACCACACAGGGGGATGGATAGAGATATATACACACACTTTATATATATATATATATATATATATATATATATATATATATATATATATATATATATATATATATATATATATATATATATACACACACACATATATATATACACATATACACACACACACATATACACACATATACATACACACACACACACACGAGAAACGCGAAAAATTAGAATATCATGCAAAAGTTCATTTATTTCACTAATGCAACTTAAAAGGTGAAACTAATATATGGGATAAACTCATTACATGCAAAGCAAGATAGTTCAAGCTGTGATTTGTCAGAATTGTGATGATTATGGCTTACAGCTCATGAAAACCTCAAATCCACAATCTCAGAAAATTAGAATATTGTGAAAAGGTGCAATATTCTCGGCTCAAGGTGTCCCACTCTAATCAGCTAATTAAGCCACAACACCTGAAAAGGCTTCCTGAGCCTTTAAATGGTCTCTTAGTCTGGTTCAGTAGGAATCACAATCATGGGAAAGACTGCTGACCTGACAGTTGTGCAGAAAACCATCATTGACACCCTCCATAAGGAGGGAAAGCCTCAAAAGGTAATTGCAAAAGAAGTTGGATGTTCACAAAGTGCTGTATCAAAGCATATTTATAGAAAGTTATGTGGAAGGGAAAAGTGTGGAAGAAAAAAGGTGCGCAAGCAGCAGGAATGACCACAGCCTGAAGAGGATTGTCAGAAAGGCCATTCAAAAGTGTTGGGGACTGAGGCTGGAGTCAGTGCATCAAGAGCCACCACACAGACGGATCCTGGACATGGGCTTTAAATGTCGTATTCCTCTTGTCAAGACGCTCCTGAACAACAAACAATGTCAGAAGCGTCTTACCTGGGCTAAAGAAAAACAGATCTGGTCTGTTGCTCAGTGGTCCAAAGTCCTCTTTTCTGATGAGAGCAACTTTTGCATCTCATTTGG